CCATGAACAGACTAAAATGAATTGTTGGAATATATTTTTATGCTCCATATTTTTCTCACCTATGCAATATTATTTACTGAGTACTGTTATCATGACCTTAGAGGGATAAACTCAGCCCATGATTAAAGTCTAGAATACAACTTGTAGGTGTTTTCCAAAGGTGGAAATGACAACACAAGTATTTTGAACTCTTCAGGTTACCTTGGCCATAGTGTTAGCAATGTATATGGAGGCCCTCTTCAACCATGTTCTGAAAACCTAAAAGAACAGGAATGTCAGCTGGCTTCCTTTTTTTTTTTTTTTTTTTTGTACTCTCACAAAAAGAGCTGTAATCTGGCTTTACAGTGATTTAGGTATGGTAACATATAGTTTAATATTCCAAAGCTGAAGCATATTTTCTTTCATCTTTGGAAGTACCTAACATCAACAGCATTTGACACTGTCCCACACAACATCCTGGTCTCTAAACTGGAGAGACATAGATTTGATCGATGGACCACTTGGTGGGTAAAGAGCTGGCTGGATGTTGGCACTCAGAGTTGTGGTCAACGGCTCCATGTCCAAGTGGAGAGCAGTGATGAGTGGCATTCCTCAGGGGTCGGTACTGGGACCAGTACTATTTAATATGGGTGTTGGTGACATGGATGCTGGGATTGAGGGCACTCTGAGCAAGATTATCAATGACACCAAGCTGCGTGGAGCAGTCGACACACTGGAGGGAAGGGATGCCATCCAGAGGGACCTTGACAGGCTGGAGAGGTGGGCCCATGCCAACCTCATGAAGTTCAACAAGGCCAAGTGCAGAGTCCCGCAGCTGGGTCAGGGCAATCCCAAGCACAAATGCAGGCGGGGCAGAGAATGGCTTGACAGCAGCCCTGAGGAGAAGGACTTGGGGGTGTTGGTGGATGAGAAGCTCAACTTGAGCCAGCAATGTGCACTTGCAGCCCAGAAAGCCAACTGTATCCTGGGCTGCATCAAAAGAAGCGTGGCCAGCAGGTCAAGGGAGGTGATTCTGCCCCTCTACTCCACTCTTGTGAGATCCCACCTGGAATACTGCATCCAGCTCTGGGGCCCCCACATAACAAGGACACGGACCTGTTGGTGCAGGTCCAGAGGGGGGCTACGAAGATGATCAGAGGGCTGGTGCACCTTTCCTATGAAGACAGGCTGCCTGAGAGAGTTGGGGTTGTTCAGCCTGGAGAAGAGAAGACTCCAGGGAGACCTTATAGCAACTTTCCAGTATCTGAAGGAGGCCTACAAGAAAGCGGGAGAGGGACTTTTTACAAGGGCATGTAGTGATACAATGAAGTGTAATGGCTTCAAACTGAAAGAGGGGAGATTTAGATCAGATATTAGTAAGAAATTTTTCCCTGTGAGGGTGGTGAGGCACTGGAACAGGTTGCCCAGAGAAGCTGTGGATGCCCCATCCCTGGAAGTGTTCAAGGCCAGGCTGGATGGGGCCTTGAGCAACCTGGTCTAGTGGGAGGTATTCCTGCCCATGGCAGGGGGGTTGGAACTAGATGATCTTTAAGGTCCCTTCCAACCTAAACCATTCTAAGATTCTAAGGCCCTGTGAATCTATAAAGCCCTGAACAACCTGGTCTCATAGCTGATCTTACAGCGAGCAGGAAGTTGGTTTAGAAAATTTCAGAGCGGCCTTCCAACACAAATTATTGTGTGATTCTATAATACTAAAATGGGAGAATTATGTGAAGATTGTGTGAAAATAATGTGAAGATTTAAGAGTATAATCAAATAAGAACATATCTATGGCCCAAAATAAAATTGTTCTCAAAAATACATCTCAGTACAATTCTAAAGGAAAGTCTACTACCATAAGCCTATCCTCATGAAGTACACTCAGAGTTAATAACATTTCCTTTAAAAGCTGATCTAAATTACATTTCTCCTGCCAAAAAGCATACTACTGGAAGAAACATGATAGTTTGTTATTATCTTATGTCATATTCCAGAGAGAGTTCTGATTACTTTACCAAGAAAAGTCACCTAGTTTCAGCTTCAGCAGTACTATAGCATGTGTTGAAGGTGGCTACTGTGGCAAATATCACCACTCTCCCCACTAGTCTCTTAATCTAATACAGAGAAATTAATCTGGAGACACACAGGATCCTCTGTCTACCTCTGTAATACAGGCAAGGACAACTTCCTCTATTCCATATCAAGAAGTACACGATGAGAATGAGTGGAGAGGATACAGCCTTGCACACCGCTTACAGGGATCAAGTTATACTTGTAAAATTGATAGAACTAGAAGTAGTAATGAATGAATACCTGTGCCCAACTGTCGCCAAAACAGTACATGGCAAGCTAGCTTTTTAGAAGAAGAAACTATCAGGGTAACCATGCAGCACCTCCAAACACTTGAGGTGACATGGCCTATCTGTATTACATTGTTATCACACATTGTGATGGTGTGCTCCCCCTCCCCAGGTGCCAACCTGTTCTTTATCTCCCATAACCCTGCCCAAGCAATAACCACCCGTGGTGGTCACAATGGGTGCATGTAGTCATGATGGCTGCACCTGGCTCAATGTGGTTTCGGGGAGACAGATAACAGCACAACAGCCGATAGCTAACTTGAGCAATGCTGGTACTGTGGTTAATATGCAAATATGACTATAGGTCAATCATCTTATCCCCATAAAGAGTGAACAGCCCAAGAGCCTTTTGAGCTCTCCTGCATGGCAGCAGGCTGCACGCCAGGATCTCCCCTTGATTAGGGACGCCTCTCAAGGTTACTTCCTCAGATTCAGAGATTCCATGCTGCAAAAGAGTCTTGGTAAGTGACTAATAGCATGCTAAACTTTGAAAACTTAGCTGAGTAATATAAAGGACTGATTGTGCATATATAACCCTCTAGACATAAACCATTGACCAAGTTTGGGGCTGGGACTGGATCCAGCCACACCTAGACTCCTCTCTGAGAAGCAGTTTAGATAACAGGGGTGTCCTTTCTAAACCTCGACTCAGTGGGACAGTCTACCTGACAGTTTTGTCTGACCCCGTCCTCTATGCAGTAAATAACCAAGTGTGCCTTGCCATCTCAAATCTTGTTAAAACACTGTTGTATTTACCATCAAACTTTGTTAAATCCCTGTTTTATATCAATAAATGTACTGCTGCTTTTCTCTGAGTGAAGTGCATCACTCCATCTGTGACACCTTTCACAATTTATGGAAGAAAAATTTCAGAAAATCTAGTTGTATTCCTGCATACACAATATAAAGAAGAATATAAAGTTAGGAGAGGCTCCTTGTTTACAAAAAGTTTCTAGAGAGGTAGCTTCTTGCACAGCATCTAGCTTATCTCAACAATTCAGTACTGAAGCATATTAGTAAGCAGCCCTTATTTCCCACATTTCATTGAAGAGAGGCATCATTCTAACCTGTTCTCATAAAAAAAGTCTGTTGTGGCCATTAAAAAAAAAAAAAGATTTATCCAAAAGAATTTTGAAAGAATTAGGAAATGGAACTTGGTGGAAGGCTTCCATTTCATAAAAACTTACAGATCTATTTCCATGCAGAATAGAAACACCCTAATGTCTGGAGGAAAGAAAATTCCAAATGTACATAAAATGAATATATATTGTTCTCAAAACCTCAAAGGCATTAACTAGTCAGTATAATATATATACACATTTTAAAATATAGGAATAAAAAAAACCCCTTTAAAATATGTCAACATCACCAAAACAAAGTGAGAAAGAGAATATAATTACGATACTTCCCACCTCAAGAACTCATCAAAATAAACTTTTTAATTCTGGTTTTGATTAAACCATGTTTTCCAGCAGTAATTTTTCAGCCAAAACTACTGAGCAGAGCTAAGCAAAGTCTTTCAAAGGCAGGACAATCAAACATTCCAACACCAAGAGCTGGAAAAAATATTTACCAGCAGACTGTCTGAATCCTGATTACCATTTGAATCCTTGTTTTTATCTCCTTTGAAGAGAAAATTAGATTTGCGTGACTGTGCCTATGAAGTTTGGTGCGGGCAGAGGGGAGGCAAGGAAACGAGGCATCAGTTTTGTCCCGCAGGGGGACACAGTGATTAGTGAAAGTCAGTAATAATAGTGGGTTTAAAAAAGGGAAAGCAGAGTGTTTTGGAGAAAAGTAGTTGCTATCAATGTGCTTGCTGCTTGGGGCAAAGAATTAGATGCACCACTGTAGGCCTGCAGCCCTGTTCTTAGATACTGTCCTCTTGGTTCACTGGTTCAACATGAAGCGGTGTCTCAGAAACTGCATGAAATACTATGAGTTTGCCCACAGCAGCTCGTCTTGCTGGAACTGCTCAGAGGAAACAGCAGGGAAATAATTTTTCATTTCTGTTGAGGCTTTTACTTGCAGAAAGCATAGACTTGTCCCAGCCAGATTTTTATGAGTCTCTCTCCATTTCATACCCACAACACAGGCACCTGTATTAGCTTCTCAGAGAACTGTCATTTAACAGGCACTCATTACCTTTCCTATCACTTCATCAGGTTTTGACGAGCTTGATTTAACTTTGGAATTAGCCCTGTGTTGAGCAGGAGGCTTGGACTAGAGACCTCCAGTCCCTTCTCATCTAAATGATTCTACAGTTCAAGGAAGAAAAGTTCTCCATAGAGTCTTAGGGCCAATATACGCCATTATTCTCTTCATAGGATGTTTGGAAGAGATGGTGATCAAGCTACCCTCATATCAATGGCAAAATCTGAATTTGTGAGATGGATGATTACCTGTATTTCATGGAACTTCATAGTTAAACAGATTGCCAAATAACCTTTTCTTTTATCTAAAATGTAACTACATGGTCTCTATCATAAATCTGAATTCCCAGTGTCCTGTAACAAAACAGTTAATACTGCACATGCATTCGTTAAAATAAAAGGTTTTTGAAAGATTTCCTAATATTTGTATAAACAAATGATTCTTAAAAATGAATCTTAAGACAGCTATGAAAATGACCACAAACACAAATGCAAAAAAGTCCGCACTTACAGTTCTATTGCCTTGTTCCACATGATAACATATCCAGAAAGAATGAAGGACTCAATATTTACAATATGTGTATTTCCCCTCTCTGTTCCAACATAAAGCCATTTACTCTGGAAAGGCAGATGGCAGTAAGTAATCCTGGAAAGGAAAACCAAAAAAAGCGTCTGAATATTATATCACAATATTTTTTAACACTTTTACAGATGAAGTAACTGTTCTTTCCATTCTATAACTTTCTATAACTTTTCATTCTATAACATTCTATAACTATAACTGCCTAGAAGTTGCAGCATTCTGAAGAATGTGCAGGTTTTGGCAGTCATTTCCAGAAAAATCATAAAAGAGAACATGAAACAAAATGGGGCCATCCTGCCTGCCTATATTAAGGGCAGGAAAAAAGAGCTGTATCACTTGAGCACTGAACTAGGTCATGGTATCTCCATGAGTATGTAAATTGCACTATGATAGTATCCAAGACTCTCAAGTTAGGTTTTATTTCCTTTCTTAGAATAAGCAATTTTTCCAGTTCAACAAACAGAAGTTGATGGACATCATCAGGATTAATGTTTTGTACAACAGAAGTGTAACACCATTATTCACACAAGAAAACATTCACTTTATTGACTAGCTGGGAGAGTAGGGCATTAGATAAGACCAAATGCAGTTAAGTATTATATCCTAAACACACTGAATCCTGCACTCGTATGATTCTTACAGGGTGATGAACCAGTGCTGTATTAACTTGGAAAGATGTCATGACGTTTCCCATGATAATACATAAAAATTTTCACAGATGATGAATGAAGAGATTCAAGTTTCTTTGATATTATAGTTATTAGATATTACATACATTCAAGCACAACTAAAACTATAATTCCATTTGCTGCTAAAATATAATCAAATGCATGCTACCTACAGAGGCTGAAACTTAATCTGATCTTACGGTATAGACTCATGAATTTTGACAAGAAGCTGGTATTTGGCTTTTTTCATTCTGTTCCACAAGCAGCCTATTGTTAATTTTTATATAAAAACTTGATTTAACAGCTATGCAATAATTTTATCCTTAACACTTTCCTCCCCCACAAATTTATTAAACAGTATTTAAGAACATACATATTTCAAATTTTATTCTTACAGTACAGCAATATTTCTGAATTAATTAAAAAAGAGTGAGAGGGGTGCTGGCTATCTTCCAGTAATTTGGCCCTCTCAGTCATGTAAATTCCTCTGAGTAGTACATTTGCCACCCTTTGAATTAAAGGAATTGTTCAATATTTACACAAATTTCACATACTTTATGTAATTGTTCCCTGTAAGGTACTCTCAACAAACAAAAAGTTTCCAAACAGATTCTACACAGCATTTGGATAGTTCTGTAGTATTCCAAGTATCTAATCATGTGTCAGAACATTTAACGTTGCATTCATTCAAGTGAGCAAATTTTTTTTTTTTGCCTTATGTATCACACTGGATTGAAGACGGTTGAAATATGCAAACTTCCCATCCTAATTTATAGGGAAAATTATTACTGAATCATGAATCCAGAATAAGGCTTAACCTTCACAGAAATCTTGTCTTGTTGATTGAAGTGAGACTTAAGCATGATACAGGCTTTGTTCTATCCATCTGTACAGGGCTAAATTTTACCACTAGTTGTCTAATTTTGGCAATAATTCCAGTGCCTTTAGTGGAAAGAGAACCAAGTTTTTCAACAGAATTGCTTTGAGAATGGGAATTACAGTTTAGTATGCATAAATGAAAATGCCTTCAAGCAGCAACTTAATACTTATATTGTGGGTGCAGTCAGATCAACACATATCTGACAGAAAAAGTTGCAGAAGGTGTATGCCACCTACATATTCCTTGCTGGGGTTAAAGCTGTTAGCTTTATTGTTCTGTTCATAACAGATGCAAAGAACAATTTGCCCTATTCGTTTTGTAGTTTTACAAATGTGAAGCTGGTTTTCACATTTTTCCTGATCCTTCTCCTTAAACTAAACAACTCGGTTTCTTTTGCTTTCTCTTCAGATGCACCATTTGCTACACTTCTGGTTAGATTCATATTTAGTCCAAATTAATTTTATTTCTTGCATTTCTGTACTAGCTCTACTTTCTTGCACTCCAAAGCATATGCATGCTCTGTTAGGTCCCATCCCATGCAAAAACCTCCCTGGTTCCTGGTTGAGAAATACTCTTAACCACTTCACACTGATGCTCATTCAGCTCTTGTTTGTAGTAAACTGTTAAATTACAGGAAGAGAAAATATTTGTGACTTTGAAAGTGTTGAAAATGAATCTGTCTAGTGACTGACAAATAACTCATGAGTTACAAAGTGAACCCTAGTTGACTTGAATGCTGCTACTCCAAATTCTTGCAGTTGTGTCATCAGATCAAGCAGGTTCAAGTCCACCTAGGACCATATTAATTTTCCATCCTCTGATAAATCCATTCACAAGCAAAAGATGTGGGAAACTTGGTGTTAAAAGTGCAAGACTGAATCCAATACCCTGATTATGAATAAAGTCTCAAAATCACCTCAGACACTACATGAGGCTGCTTTGGTCTGCTTTTTTTCCTTTTTCAAATTGGCTTCTAGGTTATGATCTCTAACATGTACTGCCACAACCATTGGACTAAATGGGTGTCTAATTTCCCAACCACTGCATGTCCTCCATTTGCCTGCCTCAGGTTTAAAATTTCAAGATCATAAAGTTTCAAGAGCAAGGTCCTACAATAAGAGGAAAAATCAGACTAAAGTACTTAACTACTAGCCATCAGTTACTAGACTTATTTTCCTGCTGGCCTATCTGAAATCCCAGGCAGTAGTAGCTACGAAGTCTGGATATATAGTATGAAGGACCAGAATAGAATTAGATGTTGCTAAAGAATGAAGAAAATGACCACATTTTTTTTCTGTTTTCTTAAGCTGAGCTATTTCCTCTTAAATAATTTCATTTTCTTCTGATAGATTTATGGGACAGCCAGATAAGAAAATATTCTGCGTGTTCTCTCTTCCACAATGAAAACTACCCTATGAGTCTTCATTGTTTACCCAAACTGATATTACACATTATCAAAAACCACCTTTTACAATATGTGAGCTTATAAGAAAATGCTATTCCCTTAAAGACAATCCAGATATGTAACAAACCTATGAGAGCACAGGGATTACGGGACATTTTAATAAGATGCATTGTTAGGCTTCACCAAACAAAGCCATATGATTTTCATATTCTTAGAAAACTATGCATTCCTCTGAAGTAATTTTCTTTTACATTATGTAAATTAAATGCAAACTGCTTTATGTATTATTGACTTTTCACTTTTACAGAAAATACTAACTTGACTTTGAGGCTCGAAAGCTTTGAAGCAAGCCTCAGATTTTTAATGAACATTTCCATTTAAGTAAGTACTGAAATTTCATAATGATTTCTTCAAGAGAAAACAATGAAGTTTCATACTGTAGTTTTCATTGCGGATGAAAGGTATCCCTCTATAAGTCATATATCCCACAAGGAAATTAAGATGTCCTTTGATGCCTTTACAAAAACCAGTCAATTAACCAGAAAGAAAGAGAGGCTATTTTTCTTCTTAAGAAGCTAAGGGTTGTAGTGATTTATGCCAGTATGAAGTGCTTCTGCCAAACTTGAATCAGATTGTCAATCTGATTGAGATAATATGGGACCCAATTAAACAGAGACCTGAGAATTTGCTCAATGTTGATCACTTAATAGAAAGGCAGACAGAAATGTGGATATTATACATTCTTAGCAGCAAGCCACAATATGAATCTCATTGATTGTTATGAGAAATAGTAAAAAAAATGGACTGACACCAAAAAAGGTGTTTCTACACTGCCAAAATGGTCTGGAACATTGCATCAGTTTTCTAATGTATTCAAAGGACAAAACAGGATATAAAATGTAATTTAAAAAAAAAATAATCAATAGGTGCCAAATAAAACACCTAAATCAGAATTTATTAAGCAAAAGCTCTTCAGCAGAAGACCTGAAAACATTTCTAAAATTATTTAAGCAATATAAGAGAGAGAATAGAATAATTTCAAGAGGCATAGTCAAAAAAATTGAAACTCATTTTAGAAAGGAATATATTCTGACTAGCAAATCTTGAGAAGGTATATTTTTTCAGAAAATCACAGCACTCTACAGTCTAACAACTCTGACCAAAAAAAACTCATTGCGTATTAGTAGAATACTACAATGTTAAAATAATTTAAACTGCTACATACTCTGAAATACTAGTAAAAACTCTCAGATGGCTCAAAATCATCTCTATTATACTAATCATATTGCTCTACAAAAAATAAAAGATAATTTTGAGTACACTTCCTTCTGCCTCTGCTTTGATATTTTTGGTTTTCTATTTTTAGTATGAAGAATTTTCCTGAAACACTGTTCCTGGTGGAGAGTGGGGAGAACTGCAGCAGGGGGGAGAGTAAATTGCATTTTTGTCAAACTGATGAACAGTTTTTCCAATTTAATTATATAATTGCTCATTCCTTGACATCAAAACTGCAACTAAATTTATACTATGCCTTTTCCCCTTATACAGGTAATCTTAAATATGGACAAGCATAGAATGTGCATAGCCCTTATGCCCAGCACTGACTGGCAGAAGGGTTCAGTTTCTGTCAGTTCCTACAAAAACCAAACGTCTTCTTGAACTCCCTTTCAGAATGCTACCAAAATAAACTGTGCTGTCCAGGGTCTCAGAAAAGATGGAAATCACAGAAATTTAAAGGACAAGAAGACAAAACATGAAGGAGCAATAACTTGGGAACATGAGTAGTTGACAGGAAGCAAGCCCAGTAGCTGCAAGGCATGCCAGCTTGGTCCTGGCCCACCTTCTCTCAGCTGTCAGTGACTACCAAGTCACAGCCACTGTCTTACACCCAACTTAAAATGCATTGTCCCAGCATGGATGAGGTCAGCTGCTGAGAAAGCTGATCACCTTCTTAAGAAGGTTATGCACATCAGAAGTCTACCTTTTCATTAGAAGTATTACAGCTCCCCTCCCAACTCAAGGAATCTTCTCCACCATCCTCTGGTGCTTTCAGTACTCTCCACTAATTTATGTTACTTATTTTAGCTGGTCATCATCACAAGCTGTTCTC